AACGCCAGCTCTTATCACTCATATACTTATCAAGCTTTATCTTTATCTTTATCAACCATTACACCAGGATCCCTTTCTTTCATGACACTGTTAATGTTATTCCCATCCAAATTATACTTATCATTCAACTTATGATAACCCACATGTATTATCTTGCATTTATTATAAATAAAACCCATTTGACATTTATTTGCTCGCTTCACTAAATGACCTAAATCCTTTTTTAAATCAACAGCATCTTCTTCCCAGCTAGCAACACCCAAGACCTTAATATCATCTATAAATTTAAGTAACTTATTAACTATTCTATCATCTATGGCATTCATGTAAAGCAAAAAGAACGAAGGTCCTAAGACTGAGCGCTGAGGTACCCTACTTGTAACATTAATCCAGTTTGACTGAACTCCATTCATTTGCTAACTTACCCCCACACCTTTTACGTAGCACCTTGTCAAATGCTTTCTGAAAATCCACATACACCAAATCTATACCCTTATCCTCATCTACATAAGCAGTAACCTTTTCAATTAATGTGAAAAGATTTGCAAGGCAACATTTTTCCTCAATGAAACCATGTTGACTATCCAGTAAAATTATAAACATTGTTAAATGACTTTGTAAAGCATCTGTTATCAGACTTTTCAAAACTTTTCCCACAACTGGCGTAAGACTAATCAGTCTAAAATTACTGGGACAATTTCTATCACTTCCCTTGAAAAGAGGAGTGACATTAGCTAACTTCCAATCATTTGGCACCTGCTAAGTATTCAAGGACTTGCAAAAAAAAAGCAAGTGGCTCACATGTCAAATCCTTAACCTCCTTCAAAACCCTGGGGGAAATACCTGGCCCACGAGCCATTTCTTTCTTTAAACTTCCCAGTTTTCTTTGTTATTTTCATATATCATGTGGATTACTGCTTAAATCTTCAATAATAAAAACTGAACGAAAAGCAGAATTTAATAACCCAACCATCTCATAATCATCAGAGACGAACCTTCCGTTGTCATCTCTCAAGGGTCTTACCCCCATTCTAACAATTTGGTCAACCTTAAAATACTTAAAGAAATCATTACTGTTAATTTTTACCTTTTCAGCCAACCTTTTTTTAGTACATATTTTTATGTCCTAATTTCCTGTTTCACTATCTTTCTTGATTTTCTATAATCTTCTAAGTCTCCTGTCATACCAGTTAATTCAAATGTCTTAAATTTATGGTGGTTTTCTTTAATTTTATCTCTTATACTCTTTTTGAGCCAACCTGTTTTTTGTTTTTATTTTGTTTTTACTTGCAGACACCCTTTTCTTTCTATAAAGTATATGTTTACCTTGAATATTCAAAATATTTTTCACATTTGATCAATGGCTCCAAATAACTCAGCTGCCCAATTCACAGCAGATAATTCTAGTCTCATCCCTTCAAAATTTGCTTTTTTGAAATATGTAACTAAAATATCATTATTCCTTATTTCCATATGTAGTAAAACATCGAACCTAATAGAGCAATGATCACTTCCACGACGATGTTCCCCAATTTCTACCCTCTCAACAATTTCTATATTAGAAGCTAACAATAAATCCAAAATACCAGTTTCTAGTTGACCAATTGGTAAAGAAAGCCATCCCGAACAATTTCAAAACACCTTTCTACATCATTGTTTGACTCTAGTATTTCCCAGTCTATATGCCTCAAATCAAAATCACCGATAATTATTACTTCATTTATATCTGAAATTTTAATATAAAGCCACTTCTCCCTTTCTTTAACCACGTTTCAGTTATTTACATTATGTCAAAATCCTCCATTCCTACCAGTGCCCTAAAATCATATGTTTTATTTCTTACTAGCTGGAGTACCCGTCTCCTGGACGAAATTTACGTAAGTTCATGATTAATGAATGGTTATCTTAGGACATGAAAAGTTGCTTCCCTTGTATGTAATTGTAAAAAAATACAAAAAAAAAACAACAACATAAAAGCTTTAAGACACAAAATGCACGTATCTCCGCATGGATCCAACAAACTTTCATGCCAAATTTGGTGAAGATCCATCTACAGAGGGCGAAATAGTGGCAAAAACGTCAAAACGCCCATAAAAAAGCAAAACAGAACATCTGTATGTACCTAATGAACCTCCATACCAATTTTGGTGAAGATTCATCTACACCCTGCGAAGTAGTTATATGGACATACATCAGACACTTCTAGCATTACAATAGTAACAATTAAGCCTAACTTTATAACTACTTATATACTCATTTCCTATGCTAAACTTTTCTCTACCTTGTATTCTTTTTGTATTTGTTTTATCCTGGCCATCATCATTATGTAGTTCTAGTTTAAAACTTCCTTTATAGCTGAGTTAACAGCCTTTACAAATAAGCCAGACCCTACTCTATTTAAGTGTGTGACATCCATATCCAAACAGCTCCTTTCTACCATGGAACTGATCCCATAATTCCAACTAGCCAATATATTCGTCCTTACATGTTAATTTAAGCCTGGCATTCAGCCCTAGTGACATACTTATAACTTTATCCCTACGATTAATTCTCGGCAATATTCCTCATAAAATTAAGTCATGGTCTCTTTTCTTTAAATGTCTTTATCAACACCTTTTACTTATTAATTTGCTCCTCCGACCTACCTTTCCCTACATCATTAGCCCCAACGTGCACAACAAAAACTGAATCTCTGCTAGCCTCTTTTATTATATCTCCTGTTCTGTCAGTTATATCCTTCACCTGTGCCCGTGTAGGATAATCTAATTCTTTTCTCTCTATTTACCCCACAGACTATCCTATCCACATGCATTGTCAAGGTATCACCTACACCTCCTTAAGTTTATCATCCATATCCTTTTCTGTCCCTTTTGTTTTCCTTCCCTCCAATAGTTCCTCATCTGCAGAAACCAAGGGCTGAAAGCTAAATTTTCCATTATATCAGAATTGTTTAACATCGAAAAATTTAATAAACAGTTGACAGCATTATAAAAACCACAAACTTGATTTTGTTACAGTTTTACGTGAAATTGGCAAACATAACCTTATGAAGCAACACTGAAACACACTGCAATTACTGATACCATACCACAGCTGTACAAAATTTAATAAAATGTAGTAAAAATACCATAGTACTTTTATGTACTTATATACTATATAATATATGACAATGAAAATACAATGCAAGATTAACATTCATACCTGTCCTGGACAATCCATCAGAACATAATGGTCTTCAAATCTTGATAATTCTTTTAATAACCAGTCAACATTTTTTTCTAGATACTCCATACAATACATGAGGGCACCATTTGGGCCAAGGTGTAGATTATTCATAACATCTTCCAGTTCAATCAAATGAGAAATGTTTACCTCTGGGGAATAAGGCAAGACATCATTAGCAGGATCAATATTAATCACAGCAACTTTCCTTCCCAAGTGTTCCATAAACTCTTTCATGGAGTTGCAGTATGTTGTTTTTCCTGATCCAGGAGGCCCAATAACTATCTGGCCAAACGGCATCTTTAAAAAATTAGTCTTCTGAACTAATTGCTCAAATAGATGTTAGCCTACAGTAAAAATAAAAGTCACAAAATTTACTACTTGAAAAGTTAATAGTACCAACACATTTTGTCTTAATTAGAAGGGTTTGTTATTCACTATAATTCAAAACAAACTTTGCATCAACTCCATATATATATATATATAAATATATATATATATATATACTACTATTATTATATAATAATTAAAGTAGTACGTATAGTGTAACTGTTAGTTACGTAAACT